TCCTGTGCAACCCTGCTCCAGCTCCAGATGGCAGAATTCCCCGCCTGTGCTTAACGAATGAGCACACTGAGGAGCTGAGAATCAATTCAAGGCTATCTACCTCCCACTTCACTTCAGCTGCTTCTAGCCTCAGGTACCCATGTCTGGGAGCTGCAAGGCCCGGCTGCATTTGCTCATCCACACTACATAGTCACAGTGTTGGGCAGGGGAGGAAATTATGTTCAGGTTCCCAAGATGAATTAGGCCCACAGCTGGCTTGGGGAACTCTCACAGACACAGAGAAGGCGTGGTGGTTGCTTTTAGGAAGGCACAAGGAATGTCAAAGCCATATTCTTTCAGTCTTGACCCTTAACACCATCCTGGCCATCTCAGAATTTCTCAGTTAACCTCCCTGTGGCCCCAGAGTTTTGCTCTCTGCTTTGAAGGTCTCTCTCTCTCTTTCTACCCTTGCCTCACAGCTCAGCTCAGATTCCACCTCATAGGAAGTTGTCTACTGTGGCGGTTTGGGTGAAAATGGCTCCCATAGACCCCAAGGGAGTGGTACTATAAGGAGGTGTGGCCTTGTTGGAGTAGGTGTGGCTTTTTTGGAGGAAGTTTGTCACTTAGGACAGGCTTTGAGGTCTCAGATGCTCAAGTCAGGCCCAGTGTTTCACGGTCTTCCTGCTGCCTGCTGGTATGGATATAGAACTCTCAGTTACCTCTCCTGCATCATGCCTGCCTGTGTGCTGCCCTGTTTCCCGCCATGATGATAATAGTAATGGACTAAACCTCTGCGTTGTAAGTCAGCCCCAATTAAATGTTTCCTTATGAGAGTTGCCATGGTCATGGTGTCTCTTCACAGCAGTAGAAACCCTAACTAAGATCCTTACTCAGGCTGAGCAGCCTCTGAGCTTCTCTTAGAGTTCACCATGGCCGTGATTGTACATTAGCCATGTGTTTACAGCTCATGTTGGTTTCAGTAAGTGCTGTAAAGACAGACTATATCTCTTTCACTCAAAATTGAGCTCCCTGAGTTTCATCCAGGCATATGGCAGTGCGTTATATATTTGAAGGAAGGCGGGAACAAGTGAATGCTCTCGTGACTTTCACAGCTGTTAGTTTCTCGTGCCTTTACATGGTTCCGTCATCTAACTGTGCTTTTCTTGTCTACAGTTAATCTTATCACTTTAGACCATTTCCAATTCCTTTTGTGTCTCACTGGATTTGGAGATCCCCCCTCCCTGGACCCCTCTCTAGCACAACAGGACAGAGCACATGTGGTTTTCTGGTCTGCTGTGTGTGTACTCATTGTTCACGCAGTTCAGCTTGTGCTCTGAGCTTTGTGCAACCTACATTTTGGCAGCTGGAGTTTGGGAATTTCATGGCTCTCATGTCTAATCCTCTTGGCTAAACTATAGGTGATGGTGTGTTCTTCACTGGGAGGCACATGTTGTCTGCTTTTCCCTTCCTTCCCTCTTCCTTCTCCTCTTCCATCTCTCCCTCTCCTCTCTGTTGCTTTCTTTCCTCCTCGCTTCCCTGACACTTCCCTCTTCTCTCCCTCCTTCTTCCCCTCTTGTGTCATTGACCACTATTGATGTGATGAGCCCTTTAATTCAATAATTGATTCTAATACACAAAATGGTGACAGCTGAATTCCATAGTTTCTATTGCTTGTTTCATTAACTTATGTAACAGTTGAAGTGCTATCATGGAAGATGCTTTTATTCACTTACAATTTGGTCACTTAGTAGACAAAGGTAAATGCCACTGTCTTGCATTTATTTGCCACCGTTCCTGATAATGAACCAGTTCTGCAGATTACATGATCACACCTACTTTGAAAATATCATAAACTCACATATATAAGTATATCTGGTGGGTTTCACTCTCTTTCAACAATTGTTTAGGTTTGATTTGGTTCTTCGAGACAGGCTTTCTCCATGTAGCTTTGGTGCAGTAACTGTTATTGTTGAAGTTCAAACTTTTCTTCGCCGAACAGGGGAAGTTCTTCAAGTGGGATCCTAGGTACTTTTGGACTTGACACCAGTGGTCCTGTGTTACCTTCTTACTGTCTATATGGTGGGGTTGCAGACTTTCACTCTACATTTCTGACCTGGACCTGCAGCTGGCCATTTCCCTAATATTTTCTTGTCTCTTTTTTGAGAAATAGTATTTCAAGTCCCTAGTGAAAGCTGGGCATAGTGGTGAACGCTGCAATCCTAGTACTCAGGGGGCTGAGGCAGAAGGATGCACATTTGAGGGGAGGGCACGTAATGACACCCTGTTCCAAAATATAAAAAACCCAGCCTAGATGATAGAGATAGTCTTCTCTACCCAGGATTCATTATTCCTATGTCTCTTAAATGAAAAGTTAGAAAAAAATATTGGTTTCAGAGTTAACACACTTTATATGTTCATATTGTGTTTTCTAACTTATATTCAGGATTGCAGGGAATTTTTCTGAATCACCTCCATTTCATATTTGTCTTTCCTTTCTTCTATGTCATTGGCTCCAGGTCTCTAGGACTCAGGAGACAATGGAACCAACCGTCCACCTGCACACATTGACTTCACCCCACATCACCACTCACAGACGCCTCAGAAGAGCAATCATTCCACCACCAATGGAGACGACTGTTGAGAATAATTAAATGCTCTGCGGCACGTGCCTGTCTTAGTCAAGGTCCTCTATAGGAACAGACCGACAGAACGAAAATCTGTTAAAAGGGATTTATTATGCCGACATACATGAGATGGGCTGGATGGTCTGTCAACGGCTGTCTGCCCAGTGGAGAGACCAGGTAGCTCTCTGGTCCACAAGGCTGGAGGCCTCAGCAGTTTCAGGCTGGAGCTGGAGGATCCCTGAGAGCCACTGGTTTCTGAGGACAATGTCTGATGTCAGGTAAGGATAGCAGCAGCAGCATGCACGAACAGGAGGCAGGCAAGCAGAACGCAAAAGGGTTTCCCTTGGACCTTCTAGGTTGAAAATAGAAGATGTTCCCACTCTCCCCTCCACCTGAATTCAGTGGGAATTCTGCCCACTTCAGTAACCTAATCTAGACCACTCCTCATAGCTGTGCCCAGAGGTTAGCCTAATCTAGGCAGTTCTACACAGCTATGCCTGGAGGCTTGCTCCCCCCACATAGTGATTCTAGAGTCTGACAAAGTGACAATATTAACCATTACTGTATTTTATGTTGTTATTACAGAATGCCACTAGGTGGACAATTTATCAAGAAGGGAAGTAGTTTGTTGTTTGGTTTTTTAAGAGTTCTGTGAGTGAGTCAAAGAGCATGGTACTGTCACTGAGTGGGAACTTTGTGGTCACCTCATGACATGGTAGGGGCATCACATGGTGAAACAGAGCAAGTGGCAATCAACTAGTGTCACTGTAGGAAACACCTTTTCATGACCTCACACCATCCTAGTTGCTCTCCAAAGTCCCTATTCCCAAATAACACTGCCATGTGCGTTTTAAGATTACCTTTCTGCATTAGTTACTTTTCTCATTTTCTGACTGAAATGCACAACAGAATGCCACTTCAGGAGGGAAAGGTTTATTTTGACTCTAAAATCATGGCAGGAATTGCATGGCACACGAGATATGAGATAGTCATCGCATCTAAAGTCAGGAAACAGAGCCATGAATGCTGGTGTACAGTTTGCTTTATCCTTTTTACTCGGTGTGAAACTCCAGCCTGTGAGATGGTGCTGCTCACACTAAGGGTGGGTCTTGCCCCTCACTATTAATCACAAGTCTATCTCTTCTCCACTAAACATCCAAGCATTTCATTTTAAAGCCATATCCTTCCACACTTGTTCCCATAGGCTCAAGGCCGTCTCATGATTTGAAATACATCCAATCCAACTTCAAATTTTCCCACAATCTTTAACAGTGCTTTTTCAAACTTTAAGTTCAGAATCTCCTCCAAGACTCAGATCATCTCTTAACTGGAAGCCCCAAGGCATCAAAAAGCCAGTTATGTGTGTTCAGCACACTGTGGCAGAGTAAATATTCCCATTCCAACTGGGGGGAAATTGGGCAAAGTAAGGCAAGATGAGGCCAAAGTAAGACCAAACCCCAGTTGCACAAACACCAAGGCTTGCACCTCCATGTCTGGCAGCTGATCTAGTAATAGAATCATCTGGGCTCCAAAGAGCTTGCATACCCTCAACCTGAGCTCATATTCTGCTACCTGTACCCCCATAGCCTCTCAGGCCAGCTTCACTCTTGGCATTCAGCTGTCCTCTACGTGTGTCCCACGGTTCTGGCATCTCTGAGATCCTTCAGTCTCCACTGCTACTCGGATTTCACCTTCACAGCTGCCTTCAGAGGCTTCTCTGATACTGCTACACATTTTCCAGCCTTTGTAGCTCTCTGGAATCATGGGACGAGACTCCATGACATCCTCAATCTTGCCCCGAAGAGCTAAGTCTATCCGGAGGGGAAGTGAGAGTAAGAATAGGGCCCCAGATACTGGGGGTCTTTCCAGTTTGTTCTCTTAACCTCTTCCCAACTGTTGACTTCTCATTGATGTAAATCTAAGATCTATTTTTCAGAGGCATGTAGTGTGGGAAGAGGATCCCCTCAGAGGAGTTTACTGGGTTGGTCAACTTTCTGCTCTCATTCTTCCTGGGTCCAACAGATGAAAAGCTACTTGTCCTTGCTTGTTAGAATCTAATCAACTTCAATAAAAACTGTATGCTTGCTGGAGACAGGCAGGCAGGTCAATATTCAGAATAAAGAGAAATAAAAGAAATCAATTCTTTATGACAGAGCCAACTGCTGCTGCTGGTCTCTCTTCTAGAAAAGATGTAAGTGTCTGTCACTTAAAAATCATGGCTAGTTTCTCTGGGTTCAAGTAGTTCTTGTTTTCAGGAGCACGGGAGACCTGGCTACAACACAGCCCTAACCCAAGAGAGAGATGGTTACAATACAGCCCTAGCTCACACCTGCTGGACTAAGATGGCCTTAGTCCTCCAAGCTTAAACTCTCACATGAAACGGTGGATTGGTGGATCATGGATCATGGCCGTCCAGCTGATGGGCCTGAGAACCTGGAATTCAGCTCCTTCCTGTTCTGGAGAAACCATCTGCCTAACACTGATCGTGACCTGCAGGATTACCTGATTGACAGAAGGGGAAAAGAGGAAGAGGAGAATGAATTTGAAGGCAGTGATGACCCCCAGCAACATCAAGCAGATCCAGCAGGAGTTGGGGCAGTGTGACATCCCAAAGGACGTATGGGTTGGGTGTGTGACCACAGACTTAGCCATGCAGAATGTTCTGCTTCAGATGGGGCTGCACGTGCTGGCAGAAAATGGTGTGCTGATCCTAGAGGCCCGGAGCTACATCTTACACTGTCATGGCTGCTTCAAGACAATGTTGGACATGAATTGAGTGTTCTGTGGGCATTGTGGGAACAAGACCCTGAGGAAAGTGTCAGTGATTGTCAATGATGATGGTACCTTGCATATGCATTTCTCCTGAAACCCCAAGGTGCTGAACCCTCGAGGCCTCCAGTATCCACTGCCCACTCCCAAAGGAGGTAAATATGCCATCAACCCACCTCTGACTGAAGATCAGCGCTTCCTCAGCTGTGACTCTCCTACAGAAGACCAACGTGTTTGCCCCTGACTACATAGCTGGGGTGTCTCCTTTTGCAGAAAATGACATCTCCAGCCGCTCAGTCACCCTGCAGGTCCAGGATGGCACCTTAAGGCTGAGATGCTTAAATTCCGGTGCTTCCAGAAAGATGTTTGTAAAGAAAAGGTGATATTGCAAGCCCTGCAGGCAAAACATATTGCAGCCGGCTGCTGGGGATGTCTGGCGTATCATCCCCAGTGTCTGGTCTGCCAACCAGTTACAGAGAAGCAGTCCTGGCTTCTGTGGACTTTCTGCAACTTTGTGCTGTGTGGGGTCGCAGTACAATGTGGCTGCTCTGCTTGTGAGTGTCTATAGCCCAGACTCTGCCATGGGAAGGGAAACTTGAAGAAGGAGGAAGGGTGCCCTGGAGCAAACATCGACCTCAAAGGAAGAAACATCCAAATGGTAATCTTTTTCTAAAAAATTTGTTGGCCAGCTCAAAAATAAAACAAAAACAAAAACACACCTCTCAAACAAAACGAACAAACAAACAAATAAAACAATACTGGGTACAATTTTTAAAGCATCAAAGGATATACATCAGAATGTTACCAGCAATTATTTCAGTGGTTTGGAAGGGTATTTAAAAATTCTGCTATCAAATTTATAACCACATAAGTAGAGTGTGATATTTCTCCTTCTGAGGAAAAAATTTAACAATATTTTTGTATTTATTCATTTTTGAGAACAACGAAAATGAGATGTATCGAGGATTGATTAGGATTGCAATTCTGGAAAGGGCAGATTTCTAACAGCCTAGAAATTAGGCTCCAGGGGTTCACACTGTGGCAGTAGTGTTTATGACCTTAAACCACAGAAGGTTGGAAGTTGTGTGACTTTTTTCAGGTGATGTATGTACTGGCTGAGAGAGAGTATGTGATCTTTAAGAACGAGACTGGATGTGGTTTCATTCTGAGCGATTTGGGGAGAGGGCTATGTTAACAGGAGGATGGCAGAGATAGACAGTGTGCCACGGTCACCCACCTGGAAAAGTGGGTTGGGAGTGTCTGTGGTCCAGATTGGAAATGCAGCTGTGAATTTACCTGAGGCCTCTGGACTCCACCTGCAGTGCCCTGAACCAATGCTGTTGTTCCATTTTGTTTTTTTTCCTTTGATGCTGTAAGGTCCTAGACTTATAAAAACTACTAACCTATTGTAAACTGTTAAGAATAATTAAGAAACACAACTTAGCTAGGTATGGTGGTGCACACCATTAATCCTGACACTTGGGAGGCAGAGACAGGCAGATATCTGAGAGTTTGAAGTCAGCCTGGTCTACAAAGCAAGTTCCAGTACAGCCAGGGCTACACAGAGAAACTCCCTCAAAATAATAATAATAATAATAATAATAATAATAATAATAATAATAATAATAATAATAATAAACATGATCAAATTCTTTAATGTGTTCAGAGCTACACTTTTAGTCATGTTGTATTTAGTTTCTTGTATATGCTTCAAAGTTAAGCCTAACTGGTGGGTTGTGTGGAATCCTGAAGAATTAACATCACAGAAATGTGTGTGTGTGTGTGTGTGTGTAAAAATCTAATGGGGTTTAAAGGGAATTAATTCTTTAAATATCTATACTATCCTTTAAGAAACTTACACAGTATCTAATAGTCAGTGTCATTAATCTGTGATAATCTGTGATCAATCTAACATAATACACAGTTGAAGTGATTGTATATTGCCATAGATTCAGTTTGGCAAAGCTTTGCTCCATTTAGAGATTAAAAATCTATTTATATTTCAGTTATATATTTTCTATGACAAAAGTCAAGGTGACATAATTATTTTTATCTCAAATGTAAATTTTAGAGAGTACCTTTTATTTTTTTCTTTGAGAGAGAGCATATTACTATTGTTTTGTTAAATGGATATGGCATCAAACTGTCTTCTAAAATTCTGTTTATACCCATAGATGAGTGCCTCTCTCACCCTTGGAGAGAAAAAAGTTCTTTTCTGCAGTGGGCAGCTAACCAGAGAACTCTCGGGCCTTTGACCTCTCAGACCGTGGACCTTTGATCAGATTAACAGCACTGGGCATGCATTTCTTACTGTGGAGCAGACCTCAGATTCAACCAGAAAGTGGTTGGCTTGGTTATGACCATGACCTTAAAGTCAAAATGCAGGTTTTAATCATCACTATAAATCAGACAGGCTTTAAGAAGTGTTATACTTTTGTTTAATTGCCAATTAGGTTTGAGTCTTAAACTTCTCTGAAGAAGAGTGTTATTATTTATTATTATTATTATTTGTTCTCTTATGAATTACATCCTGACCACAGTCTCCTCTCACTTCTTTCTTCCCTCAGATCTTCCCCACACATTCCTTTATCCCCAGATCCATTCCTCCTCCATTTCCCTTCAGCTAAGGGATAATAACCAAACATACATATCAAGATGCAATTAGTATAGGCATATCCCTCCTAGTGAAGCAATCCAGTAGGAGGAAAAGGTCCCAAAAGGGGCAAAAGAGTCAGAGTCAGCCTCTGATCCCACTGTTAGTTGTCCCACAAGAAAAACAAACCACAACCACACATACAAAAGAGGACAGGACCTAGCACAGAACCATTCGGACTCCCTGATTATCGGTTTTGTCTCTGTGAGCCCCTTCCAGCCCAGGTTAGTCGATTCTGTGGGCTTGTTTCTTGGGGTGTCCTTGGACCCTTTGGTTCCTATAGAGAAGTTATTCTAACCTTCAGATGAAAGACTGATGTTCATACATCTGCTACAAAATCCCACCTTCTCCTCTCCTCACTTTTGCCATTTGCCTGCCCTTTAGAACTGATTTCTAGGCCTTCTGCTAGGCTTGGGTCAGCCACCTTTTCTGAACAGTAGCACCTAATCTCTCCGCATGCTTCTCCTCCTCCAGATCAGCAAGATAACTCCGTTGGTAAAGGAGCCTGCTGTGCCAGTCTGACACCTGAGTTCAATCCCTGAAGCCACTGAGAGGTGAAAGAGAAAACAGATTCTCAAGGTTGTCCTCTGACCTCCACAGGTGTGCTGCGGCATGCATGCCTCCCAACTGCACACCCCCACACCCCCCCACACACAATAGATAAAATACCTTTTTGTTTTTAATAAGAAAGTTCAAGGCTCCACTTTGCAAATCCTTGCAATGGCCGGCCTAACAGAATAGTCACTTCCAGAGAAAACATTTCAAAGGACTGAAGTCAAATACTCGTTGGAAACCTAAGTCAAATACAAGCTGCCTGGCCTTCAGAGAGAGGAGCAGGTGTATGACAGAAAGGCAGAACATCAAGACCCCTTTGATCTCAAAACAGCTGCAGTACTGAGTCCTGAACCAGTGAGCTGAGGAGGCACAGCATTCAAGGACAAGTCCTTAGGGGACAGACCCCATCCGCCCCCACATCCGCCCCAACCAGAGACAAGTAATGTTCTCATTGACCCAGGACCAGGACCTGGGTCAAAACACAAGACCAGGCAGGCCATGCGGTGTATTGGTTTTCATGATGGATAAGGCTAGGCTGTCATTGTGTCTGAAATTTTATAATTGAAGATTCAATTTCCCCCTCTGGTAAATGGTTAGCTTTGTTGATGGAGAAAAATGATACATTGGCTCAGGCGCCATTCCCCAGCTGCCCTGAGCCTGTGATTTCATCACCTCTTGACATGTTCCAATCCATACCAACCTGTCCTTAGACCTGTCTCCAATGCCCTGATTCTTTTGAGTACCTTTGGTCTCAAGACTTTGAAAAACAGCTTAGCTAAAAAGAAAAAAAAAATCCTAAACCAAAATAAATAAACAAGAAGAAGCTCAAAGCAATTAAAGCTTGAATTTTTTATGACTCATGTGTCTATAAATGTAAATGACTACCAGGCACTATGAAATATTAATCAAGCCAGTAATCCAGGATTCCATGTGATGCCAAATTGCTCCCTGCCATCAGGGAAAAACCCATCAGGCAGTAAGTTCTGCGAACAAACAACAGCTTCGAGATGTCCCACTGTGGAGCAAGAGCATGGGAGGGCCACTTCTCATGAGGACCAGACAATGACACAGAACCCCATGAAGTTTACCAAGGCTATTACCTGACATAGGGATGCCTCACCAGGGCCAAACTCAGGGAACAGGGGTTTTATGTCAGAGAAAAGGTCCTGCAGGTCTTAAAGTGTTTCAGTCAGTTCCCATTTTCTCCCAAATTCTCAGTGCTTCTCTCTGCCCAATGTGCCCTTGCTCTTACTGAAGTCCTTTACGTTTCTGCTATAGACCTTTTTTATTTTTTGGCTTCTGTTAAAAAAAAAAAAACAAAAAAAAAAAAAAAAAAACCCACCCAAATGTCCCATTCTCTGAGCTTCCATCTGTCAGCTGGGCTGTTTTATGATATTTGTAGGGGAAATAAAACTCCAAAGCTGTAACAAAAGCTTCCCTTTAGACGGTGCTTCCACGCCGACTCTCTCTAGAGCAAGTTCTTAGCTGAGGCTTACGTGAATGGGGCCCACAGGATGTTTGGGATCTCTTCTAAGTGGTGGGCAGGAGTTCTGTTGATATGTGGTGAGAAGAGAGAGGATGTGGATGTTGCTAAATCCCTCACACGTGCCGGACAGCCCTCCACAATGGGGAATTATTCAGACTGTGCCAACATGCTGACCCTTAGAAGAAGCCTCTCTTGTTCTTACTGACTTTCGCCTTGACCCCAGGCCTTTAAAAAGAACAAGGATATATAAATCACACACCTTACTCTCGTTTTATTAATGTGGCCCTGGGAAAGAACAGTGGCCAACAGAAGTACGCTGAAAGAGGCTCCCAACTCCTGACTCAACTCACTGATGAAGCAAGTCTGATCTCCTCTGTGGCGCCGTTCACCTTTGGAAAAGTTGCAACAGCCCTGGATGACTTCTGCACAGAATTGCGAAGTGTTATGGCACCAGCATGCCTCCCTTCCTTCCCACTGCAGGGGAGGCCCTGGGGAATGCAGCCCATCCGCCCCATGGCAGCTGAGCTTTGCAGGGGAGTGAGAGGGTGAGAGAGACCCTGCTCCCCGCCTCCAACCTTGGCTCAAGTGAGGGGTACAGATGACCTCCTCTTCAGAGTTCTCCTCATGTTTCTTCCCTCTAGTGTACCATCCCATGCTTCTACAGTTTGCATGCACAGAGACGGAGAGAC